TTTTACTGCTAATTTCGTTTTGTCTTCAAGGTCTAATAAGAAATGTTTGTTTTTCGTTACTCATTTGTTTTCTGAAACAAAAACAACTTAATGCTGCCTTATTATAAAATGTTAAACAACTTTCATATAGAAAAGTACATTCGATATTTACCGAGGTATATACTATATTTCATACATAATGGACACCCTGTATGCTTATGATCCCGACACTAGTCATAAGCGCGTTAAATCAAAATCGATATAAAAAAGCCTTTTTTCTTCAAACGTCATATAATATTGACATTACGTAGCCCAGCACTCTGAGTTAAAGTTTGACTTTTTAGAACAATCGAACAAGCGGCAGTCAGCGCCGTTTTTAAGTTTTTCGGGGCCCTGGGCCATTCGTTCGTGGAGGCCCTCCTTACCCCTCAATAAAAATATTTTTAAACAAAAACAGATATTTTACAGATTTATTTATTTTACAAGTTATGCAGGTTAGACAGGTTTTTTTTCGGACCTTTAGTAACGCAAAATTTTCGATGACATTGTTAAAATCAATTTCTCTGGAGAAATCATTTTCAATACTCATCAGGGATAAATGTTTTAATCTCATCTGACTCATACTGTTCCTCAGTTGATTTTTAATTTTTTAATTAGCTGGACAAGAAAATCCTGAACGCGATCTCTATATTAGTAAACGTCTCATCAAGATTGTTATTTTTCAAAAGTTTGTACATATCGTAGACAGGTATGTGATCACCAACCACTTTTTCCTGCACTAGATAATGCTTAAAATGCTCACATTCCACTATCAGTTCTGTTTCGTTGATATCATTTGCAATGGGCAAAACCTCAGTGTAATACCCACTTTAAGCTTTTTATCACTTATTAGGACTTTTTAACTTTCTAAATGGTAACCTTATACAGGGTGGTGACTTGCGTAACGCATCATAGGGATTTCAATGTAAAATTCATAACATGCAATTATTGACTCCCCAAATTATTTTAGAGCAAAAATGTATTATATTAGGTTTTTTCGAGGGTTTTTTGTAGAAAAAATTTTTTTACGTCAATCAACCGTATTAGTTTTCAATTTTTTACCTAATAAGTAAAGACGGAAAATTGGAGAAATAAAACCTCCATCTTTTTCAATAATCTGTGCTGCCATAGAATTTTATAATACAAAAACTACGCCAATATCCGTCATTCCATGGAATGTCTGCTATAAAACAAATCAAATTCTATCAAAAAGTACTATATTTAGAACACCGAATTCAACATAAAAAAAGACCAAATTACTAAAAACGGTTTCCTAATATAACAATTTACAATAAATGTTCGAATAATTCACCATTAACTGCAAGACAGTAACCAAGTCGTTATACAATCCATTTCGAACTGCTGCTAATTAATAATGGATATCTTTTTGTTTTAGAAAATTCCATGGCATCGCAGATTATTGAAAAAGATGCGGGTTTTATTTTTCCAATTTCCCGTCTTTATGTGAAAAATTTTGAAAACTAATACGGTTGATGGGTGTAAAAAAATTTTGTCTACAAACAACTTTAATACATTTTTGCTCTAAAATAATTTGGGGAGCCAATAATCGCATGTTATGAATTTTACATTGAAATCCCTGTGATGCGTTACGCAAGTCACCACCCTGTATACACGATCTGCAGGATTTTAGAATTTCCGGTATCCCTTACTCTATATGCATTAATTTTGTTTAAATCTGCATTTACTTTAAGGCCGCAGATTTTGCACTAAATTTGTTTCATTCACACAAACTTTTGGGGGCCCCTCGGGACTTCGGGGCCCTGGGCCCGGGCCCAGGTGGCCCATGCCTAAAAACGGCACTGGCGGCAGTGAAGTACATATTTTAGTGCGTAGGCATTAAACCGCTTCAGTGCCAGTGTCACATTGTTTTGCTTTGACAATTTGATGTTATTTACATTAGGTTCTTCGTTCACCTAGCAAGTGCGATGATCTTTCCTTCTGATTTTAACAGAAATAAAAATATAGTCGATCAAAGAAGCTATATATTTATTTAAATAATAGTTAATGTTGAAAGTGCAGTTAGTCATATTACCATTATTGAAATTAAACCCTGAGCTCGTTCCTGCAGCATCCAAGTTCTGAACAGTCAAGTTTTGTTTGGCTCGTCTTATTTCTAATGAATGAATGAAGTATTTTCAAAAACTGGATTGGTTTCTGCTTCAAATGAAGGAGTAGTTGAAGTCATTCCATCTGATAAACCTGGATTTTCTAAAGTTGTCGAAAGTATTTTTTGTGCAATTTCATTTTTATTTGAAATCGAAAAACTCGTCCACAATTAAAACGTCAAAACTAATAATGGCCAACTACTATAGCAATTGTTATAGTCACCACGGCCGACGCGCTCACGGCTACCTATAACGATCGGGTTAATATTTCTTCCGATTTGAAAACCATTATTTGGGCGTTATCCTCACGTTTGAAGAAAAAATAGCATATATTATGCGGAGCTAAAGTAACTTCTTATGGCTCGTCAGTATTTTGCTGGCCTCGCTTCGCTCGGCCATCAAACACTGGCTCGCCATTAAAAGTATCACTTTAGCTCCTCATAATATAACATACTATTTCTTCAACAATGTTTATAAAATATTTACTAATTTCGTTTTTTTGCTAAAATCGACGTTAAACTACGGGATTAAGTAAATTCAAAAGTTTAGCGTAGATTGGAAGTCTCTAAGTGACCTTTTAGGTGTATCAAACAGAAACATTGACTATAAAAATGGCATTGATTTTGAACAGATCATTGGTGGCAGTTTGACGCAAATAATCAATCGTGTCGTGCTTACATAGGTGATGTTCCCAAAAAAAAACTATATCCTTTAAAAATTCAAAACAACTTTCGCTCCGAAGACAAAATTGTCAAAATTTACAAAATTTGACCTTAAGACCTTAAGGGGTGGGTGTTTGCAAATTGCATAGTTTCGCCACTGAACATAATGGCAACGTATTTTCCATACGTTGATCAGCACTTCCTAAAAGGCCATAGCTTTGTGCCTGTGTTTTTGTTTATTAAAAGCATATATGGTTAAAATTTGAAAGGAATATCTCCATAAATAAGAAAGTTGATATTTCGCAACCTGCGCATGCGCGCATGAATCGTCAAAATTACGCTTGGTTCAGATAGCAGAGCTATAACCTACCGAATTCAAAAAGTTAACGTCTCGGATAGACGCACGGACAGAGAAAGTGGATGCAATAGTTTCCAAATGCGCTAATAATCTAGATAATATACCTATAAACTAGTAAAGAGAATGATTTATACCTCTAGCCTATGTCAATGCATGCACTCACTCCCACCTTGTGTTATTTAAACACTGATCTTTTGCAACATTTTTCGTTACTGAATATTAACAACTTTAAAAAGTCATTATGCAAACACAAATAACGAGAGCGTATTTTCCTCCTAATAATATTAATGCTAGGACCGGGAAAAAATGCCGGTAGGCACGAGATCCCTCTTTCAAATGAGCCGCCTATCGCCGAAGTCTATACAAATTAATGAAAAATAGTGGAGCGTGGGGAGCGTATTTTGAAAGCTTCGTTTAATTTTTTTTAATTCATTTCTTTTTAATTTTTTTTTTGCAGCCTTATATCTTAAAAAGTAATTATCTGATTCCAAAAGTGCAATAGGGTTTTCTAGTCGGTTTTGTTTCAGAATGACCCCCCCCCCCCCATTGTCCGTGGGCGCGAATTTCGTATCATCCTGTATTGTGAAATTTTGTCAAACCTTTAATAATAATAGTCAAACATATGATATCATTAAAAATACATTGAGATCATTTTAATACAAAAATTTGTTCTAAGTAAGTTAAATATATCTTGACTTTTAGTTTGACGCCATTTTTAGGTACCTAAGTATGCACCCTTTTGAAACTTTTATATTAAACCTTTTCTACAGCTTTAGAGATATTATTTTTACAAATTGATGATTTTCAGTTTTTTTAAACGACTGGTCGGGCCTTAATTTTAAAATTTGTTAAAAAAATCAGGTCGAATCTCTATCTTTAATACCTAATAGGTACCATTGAATTTATAAATTCAATGGTAATACTGACGTTACCCATATCTACTAACTCTAATACCTATAATTGGACGGCTTAGTGTTTACTAAGTATTGGTTTACTAATGCGATGACTGCTATGAATATTTAATACTTATTAGTGTCAATGTGATAACCTCGCATTATATTACTTACAATAAGTATACATATATACTCAAAGAGTAGGGCATTTCAAGACAATGACCAATTAAATTGAAATATATAATTGCATATACCAATTTTGGAACGTTTGATTGATCGTTACGTTTGGCGCAATTAGGTCGGCTCGATACGTCGTGAATTCTCCGAAAATCAAAGTTTCCCAACGCTAATACATTAGAGATAATTGAATATAAATATTATTAACGGTGGAGTGGACAATAACTACATATTTTTATTACGAAATTATGCGGGCATAAGTGAGTGTCAATGTGATATAATGGTAATACCAATATAAATAATTGTCAATTGTAGCGAACACGCGCGCTTATACCATTTAATGGCGCATGAAATATATGTTGGTAGTGCAGCGGCGGCGGCGGCAGAGTGAACCCTTGATAAATGACTAGATGCTCTCTAATTAGATTAAGCTAATGTATGTTTTGAGCATACAGCGCGTTTAAAATACAAATTGAAATTATCATATTTAACAGATCTTTTTTAGTGTGAAGTACAAATTCCCTTTCGATTTGGAGGCTAATATTAGATTTCAACCAGAACGTGTTTTGCTTACACCATCAGAGCTTTTGTATAAGGTCTGACCCAGTAATGTATTGTTTTGTAATTTTTTTATATTCGGACCTCTAATGAATGGAATTTAAGTACCGGGTACAGATAGCATTTAGAAAGGCCCGTTTACAATGAGAACGATGTTGAAGAATGTGTTGCACTGATGGACGTATGAATGGACCTACCTACACATTCATTAGGTCTTTACACCCTGAAAAATGCAAGTCGTTGAGGAGAGTGCCAAGACGGGTATCGTATATGTATGTACACACCATACAGAGAGGTAGGTACGGACACATCCACTTAAGGGGGAAACATGCAATATACAAAATTTGCTTACCAGATATACATGATCCTGGACCGCCAGAGCCAAACGAGGCCTTCAGCTGTGAAAAACCTAAAAACAAAATTAATTTCAGTAGGCATTCAAGCAACGGCAAAGAGTTAGTTTGTGTACCAAAAATAAATAGAACCGCTAACATAAGTTTCTTATTTTACATAATTTTTTTTTACAATTCCCATGTTTCGACTAACAAAAAATCGTAGGTATCACTTGAAACATAAAATTTTTCTCGTATTCAGAAATTGATTTATTATCTTGTGAAGAGGTATTTATTATATAGGGTGTCCCACGACGAATGCCCGCTATCTATCTCAAAACGGTAAAATTCGTAAATAAGAGGAATTCATCTAAAATAGTTTCAACGTAACTCTTTCGGTTATCCCAAAAGTTACGTGGAATGCCCTTTATACAGGGTGGCACAACGAAGACGAAACATACTGAATAACGCGCAAGAAAATAGTTTTTGCAAAAATCGCAAAAAGTCGATTTTGGTTGGAAGGGGACATCTATTACATACTTTAACATTGGGTCGAGTGACACATCATTCAAAAGGGTTCTTAATTTCCTACACGCCTATGGTTTAGTTTCCAAATTCGAGAGACTCTTTTGGAAGATGCAGTTGACTGTAGAGCTTAAGTAAATACAACAAAGTATGTAACATACGTACGTTTGGTTCACTGAAATATAATCGTACCAGTATTTTGCCATGAGCACCAAAAAACTGAGCTAAAAACCTAATTAGCATCTGACCTATAAGATAATTCATCAGTTGCCCATAATAGGGATAGCTTTATTTTATTTTATTTTACCTTTATTTTTGAGTGGGGAGTGGGCGGGGTTTCAGCCAAGGCTGCTCTACCAACCCAACCCGCTATTCATTTACAGATATCCATGCCCGAACCCGGATTCGAACCAGGGACCCTTAGTACCGCAGTCCAGCTTTAATTGAACTGCGCCACATGAGCCGGCGCAGGTTTTATGAGTCTAAATTTTTGAGGGTTATTTTATTATGTTGATCTCTCCTAGTTTATGTTCTTCGGGCTTGAATTTGAATAATTTGTCCTTTGATACTCTGTATTCTTCAAATGACCCGCTCAAATTTGAAAAATAAATAATAGGTCTGTAGGAAATTAAGAGCCCTTTCCAATGGTATGCCACTCAACCCATCGTTCAATTTAAAATTATTGAAAGGGTGGCAACCCTAGCTTAGGGGGTTGACGCCAGGAGTGTAAATATTTAAGTAAAAGATGTCCCTCTTCTAAGAAAAATCGATTTATTTTCTGCGAATTATTCCTGGAATTATTCAATCTGTTTCGTTGTCGTCGTGCCACCCTGTATATCATTTTTAGATTTTACATAAAATTCTATACGTACAGGGTGGAAATTTTGTTTGGAACACCTCAAAACAAAATTATTTTAATCTAGGGGCATATTATTAAAGAATGCACTTTTTTGGATATAGCAGCATAAAAGGTTAAGGTGTGCACTTTAAAAATATGTAATACAAAATAGATGGTTGCTATCTAAACAAATTGTAACAATTTATTTCTACCATCTTTGAGCTAGCTCGCTGTTTATGCGGCGGAGTTTTAGAAAAACTGCAGTTTCACTCGCAAGTCACATAAAAGTTGTTTTGGTTGAAAAAAGTGCCGAACAAACGTACACAAATCCAAAAGCCTCCGCCCCCGGCCCATATGTACATCTCGTTCTCCTCCGACAGAAGGGAAAGTAGGGAAAGTTTTTCGACGCTCGAAAATTAAACGCACGCATAAAAAATTTGAAGTCCAGAAAACACACGCCTGTATAAAAATCATCCCGCCCCCAAAACAAGAAAACACCCCTTTATAAACCTAACCTCCGGTAATAGTTATTTACATAAAAGTCAGGAAAATGACACGTTACTGGCGAGGAAATATTGACGTACAAGGCTCCTTAGGGGCCGAGTGCTTTAATTTCCGAGTCAAGTATAATGTCATTTTACCTACTGACGAGTTTTGTATTAAATTTTACCCGAAATCTTATTTTAACATAAAATTTCAATTTTCATACAGAACTTTTGATTAATGCCAATCTGTCATTGATGACAGGAGTCATTATAAACATTTAGCAATATGACAGGTGCGGCTGGTAAAGTGACAGGCGGCAGAAAAAGTAGACTGGTCTGCCTCCGTCATGGAAACTAACACTTTCCTGACATAACGTAGGCATGAAAATGAAGGTTTCATGACGATTTTGAGTAAAAAAAACCTTGCCAAAACATATTACCACCGATCAAAACTTAGCCTAGAAAAAAAACTAAAATAAGATTCCTATCCAAACAAAAACCTATACAAAACCAACCTCTTAATGCAAAAGATAATCAGGTAAATTAGCACATGGCGGTCAAATTATCCTCTCAAAACTGGAGGCAAGTGTCTTGCCTTAGCTCGCTTCCAACAATTGCGAAACTGAGCACCACACCAAGCTCATTTACTAAAAACACTGTTTCATAATTTGTGCAGTGAGACACACAGGATTATTAAAACACTTGGCCCAACGTGCTTGTCGAAAAAGAGAGAAAGCCAAAAGAACTGTCCCATTGTTTCGTTGAATATACCCTTAGTTCATACTGAATGCGCTTTAGTATGTTAGGAGTGTGTTTGTATAACTGGAAAATATGACTTTTGCTTTTGTCGTTGAAATGACATGTTCGTATTTTGCGAAAAATGTTGATATTTGAAGTGGAAAATTCCAGTCATCAAGCTAAAATTATCTAAATTATTTATCTAAGCGTATTTACGTGAATGGAACATTGTATCTTTTCGAGGTAAAGTTATTTTGATAGGATTCCTTATTTGGTTAGCAGGTTCCTTGTTAGGTTGTCATATGTTTTAATTTAATTACCTATCTTCCTTTTACCTATATCGCAATCCGAAACTCATTTATTAATAGGATACGTAAGTTTGAATTCATTTGATTTTGATCTGATCTTGGTTTTGTAGTTTTTTGGATGTATTTTGTTGTACGTTACAAGTATTAGGGTGATCGTATTAAAGAAGCACCGTATTCTGTATGAAATGCGAACACTCAGTTTCGAATTGGTACCTGTCTGTTAGTTGTAACTGATTTAACACATTGATTAAACACACACAGATTAAAGAATTACTATGCAAATGTTTGCCTGAAATACCAGGAATTTTAGTGCGTTCACTAATAGACAACAATCGCATTCATTTTGAGTGTAACTCACTTGCCTGAAATAGTTTTGTAAAAATGGAATCTTAGCGTTGCAGTAGTTTTTACCGCGTGTTTAGTCCTTCGCGTCACGCGTGGTTAGCAATTTTTGCGGAGTGGTTTTTTAAATAACACTTTTAAACTAGTTTGTTTTGAATGTCAAGGTTAAATTTTATTTAAGCTATGGGCAGCAGTGTAGTCGCATTTTGCCATTTACTACTATTTGTACAAAGGGGTCTCGAGATTGTGTATATTCATTGGATTTGTCATTACTCTCGAGCATTTTTTAATTCTTTATTGGGGATTTTTTAATAATTCTGCAATACTCCTTTACTATCCTTGAGTCTCATTTTAATCACTTAACTTCACTTCTGAACATTTTTAAATTTTGTGAACCTTTTATATTGCTTTTTGATGTTTTTGTGTTGAATTTTTCTTGAATTTGTCGCTCTTTCGAATCCCCTGCTATAGGGACAGCTCGAATCCTTTTTAAAAGACACTCTTGAATCTGTATATGAGTTTATGGGTGCTATAACGTAAATCGTTATTTATTATTTTTTAATCTTTCCCTAATCCTCCTCGAATCGTTTTCTAATAGATTCTTTTAAATGGTTTCGAAAACCGCTTCCTTAAAACTGAAAACAAATTGACGACTGAAAGAAAAAAACTGTTTGTCAACATTCCTGCATCAGGAGCACCAGCAACCACTCATACTAGATGACAGGGCCAATGTTCAACAGTCAACAAAATACCAAGGAACGGAAAGCCTTAGTTAGTTGTGTCATTATTCAAAACTTAAGGGTTCTTTCTAAACACTGGGGCACTGAAGGATTTTGCTTGGTGGGATAGCATTGGTTCGGCTATTTGTACGTAGATGGCGTAACCAGTTACTGCTGTGGCTTTATACTAACAGTGTGGCCATGAGCGTGACGGCCGCCAAGATTCCTCCAGATTTTAATGTAATTAATAACACACATCTAGTAGGATATTCTCAAATGGAAAACGAATTTAAAACTTGTGTGCGCATAACGTCACCGGTTGACAACTTTAAATTTAAAAATACAAACTTAACTTTTATTGGTTACATTCAAATCTGGAGTAAACGCTATAGAAAACTTGACTACTGTACGGCCACACTGTTTATATAAAGCCATTGTAATGGACAGTATGAATGACGCCAGAGCATATCCTAACCATTTCACAAGAAATGGATGGGTTAGCTTTATTAAGATACCTATATGAATTCGCTAATGACTAACTAGCTATAAATCGACGTACATACAAAAGTACCGTAGATAGATGTCAGTAAAATACGCTATTTCATGTTGTTAGTAAACCAAATAATTGATCGTGCAAGAATGTTTAATTCAATGCGAAAGTTAATTATTATAATATTAGGTGCGGAAATCTGTGAAATAGTCGTTTATGTGTTTGAAGTGTTAACTTAACCCATTTTTTAATTTTTATTCACACAAGAATTTAAATTATAATTATACGTATACCTACTTACATAACTGAACAGGAACACCCATTCATCAAAAACTTGAAAACATAAATTATATTAATGGTGTACTTGCTCTTTCTATTTGTGTTTAGTAGTGCACCCGTGTCTAAATCTTTAATTTTTTATTCATATAATATAATCTAGTGCTTATAGCGCTGTTTGCCAATTTGTTTTCAGTCTCTGTTGCATCCGTCGTCATTATTTATTTTTAGTCTTCATTTTAAGAAAGTGGTATCCGGGTCCAACACGCAAAAGAGAAGATAGACAGTACAGCAAAAAAAGACTTCATGGGGGATTAAAAAAAAGGTTAGGGAAAAAGTCAAAAGGAGTTTAGGAA